TTTAAGAGTGATAGTGGACGTATTAGAATACTATGAATTACATCCAGGGAAACAATTGGCACTAATATTTCTAGATGCCCAAAAGGCATTTGGCAATGTTTCCTGGCAATTTATGACTCGGCAACTACAAATAATGGACTTTGGACAGATCTTTATAAATATGATAAAAACGATATATAACAAACAAACAGCGAAAGTGATTGTGAATGGAGATTACACTGAGAACTTTGAGATAAGAAAAGGTACAAGGCAAGGATGTCCACTATCTCCATATAGAGATATTCTAAATTCTGAAGGGAATTTAAAAACTAAACAAGAAATGGAAAATCAGGGGATCAACTTGTCGTGGTGGGCACATTTACAAATGCAAACTAGATATGAAAAAGACGTTAAACTGTATGGATTTTATAAAGAACAGATGGTATTTGATAAGACTTTGTTAACTGCAGATGAGAAACTAATTAAGAAAATGTATAATTTCTTAATTTTGGAAATGGAAAGCGAACAAGTTAAAGAAACAATGATAAGATGGGCAAAAAACTTTGGATATAGCATAGAATTAGAAAAATGGTAAAATTTATGGGAAAGGAAAAACATTTTTTTTCTTCCATTCAGTCATGTCTGATTCTCAGAGAATGCCTGGACAGGTCCCTGCAGTTTCCTTGGCAAAGTTTTTCAAAAGTGGTTTGCCATTGGCTCCTTGCTAGGTTTGAGAGAAAGTGACTAGTCACCCAACTGGATTTGTACCCAAGACGGGACTAGAATTCATGGTCCTCCAATTTCTAGCCTGATGCCTTAACCACTACACCAAATTGGCTATTTAGTGTAAGTTTCTTCAGACAAGAACATACAATATAATTTTTTTTCAAGCTTAGTTTTTTTCAAACTTAAACCATGCCTAATTTATGACAGTGATTATGTGCACAGAACATGCTAGGTCAAAGTTATATTAAACAAAGCTATATTACTGTGTAGCATAACACATGGATCCAGTCTCTATTTGCTTGCACTTACTATCATGTTCTGGCTCATCTTTTAGGTTTGAAAAGGGAGAAATATAGCCAGTTATAATGGAAGATATATTTATCTAAAAGAGAAGGAAATGGTATTGGAATACCAAAGATTGGATTGCAGTTAGATCATGTGAGGAAGACTAAATTAACAGCAATTTGATGGTTCTGTATAGGAAGGCATTTGGTAATTAATACCTTCAAACATGATAAACTCCAAGAAATAAATGCTTATTTAAATATGCTGAATTAAAAGATACTTGAGAATCAAAAGGTGAAAGGTATCATAAATTGCAAGATATTTAAGCAGGTTATTTATCAGAAGTGTGAGTACATTTTTCCTTGTTTCTGAAATTTGTTTTTGTCAAAACAAATACTGGACTGAAGCAAAATAAAGTACTATATATTTCTGAATCTATGATATTTTCTCAATCATGCTTTCACAGCATTCACTACCAAAGTGGGTATTACGTGAACTGCCATTTAAATACCTTTTTTCAAATGTACTGTAATAGAGTAATGCTCTTAAGAGATATATATATTTTTCCAAAATTATTTTTTCCAAAATTATATTTTTTAAAAATAAATGCTAATAGGTACCAACCTGTTTCTACAAATTTGACTATGCTGAAATGATACAGGAAGTGTGAAAAATAATTGAATAATTATTTGAATAATTTCTGTATTTTGTTTTATTAGGAGAGTGTCAGGAGTGCCATCTTGCTATGCCATGCTTTGCTTGCTGCCAGTCTGCTATATGTAGTGGGGGAAAGAACTGCAGGGTGGGATAAGGGGGGGTTAGTAGGAGAGGAATCGAAACTAAGCTTCATGCTGCCCCATGACAGCCGCTGGCAGTTCCAAGGTTACACTATGGAATGCAGCACCATCCAGCCTGCGAAGACAGGGATATTACCCAAACAATTTGTTTGAATCCAGTTGGACACCTAGAGATAACCAAGGGGGAAGGTGGGAGCAAGGGAAGAGTGAACCATATGCTTTGCATGCGAAAATCCTCTCTCAGATCTGACTTTGCATCTCTGTAACCACTTGGCTTTATTGAAGTGTATAAGAGTCTTTCTTTTCTAATTGTCCAAGTTGGGACGGTTGACACAGAGCTTCTAATGTTTGATGAAGTTATGAATTATGAAGAAGATCTCAGAAAGATTCTGACTTTTATCATCTGTGAGATGGCGTTGTTTCATGATTTCAGCTTGCTTTCTTCAAAATGTTGAATTGCTTTTTTTACAAATGGGCAAATTCAGCTAAACCTTTTGAACAACTCTTTCAGGATTATACTAAGGTGTTGGGGGATGTAGTCTTGACTTTTCTGAGCCTTTTATTGTTTTGATATTTAAAGAAAGGTTCCAAACTAAATGTAGTCTCTTTCATGTTCTGAAAATAAGCAGCTGTAGCACTCTTTCCTATAAAAAAAATCTTTATAAAAGTAAAAAAACCTTTTCATGCTACTTTTAAGCCAGTCTTTATAGCATTAGGTATTAAAAACATAATACAAGTAGTCCTTGACTTATGACCACAATTGATCCCAAAATTTCTGTTGTTAAGTGAGACATTTGTTAAGTGAGTTTTGCCCCATTTTATGACATTTCTTGCCACAGTTGTTAAGTGAATCACTACAGTTATTAAGTTAGTAACCCAGTTGTTAAGTGAATCTGGCTTTCCCAGTGACTGTGCTTATCAGAAGATCGCAAAAGATGATCACAAGACCCCCCCCAGGACACCGCAACAGTAATAAATACTGTGTTTCCCCAAAATAAGACCAGGTCTTTCTTTCTTTCTTTCTTTCTTTCTTTCTTTCTTTCTTTCTTTCTTTCTTTCTTTCTTTCTTTTTTTCTTTCTCCTCCAAAAGAAGCACCAGGTGTTATTTTCAGGGGATGTCTTACTCACCTCCGGCACCGATAGCCCCGCCCAGCAGGTCCACTTCTTCTGGGGCTGAAGGAGAAGCTTCATTCTGCAGCTGCATTCTGGCCTGCATTTTGTAGCCAGGCCTTTCCAGAAGGCCTCTGTAGCCAAGTACCGAGCAATGGATTCAATCCATAGCTTGGTTCTTGGCTGCAGAGGTCTTGCAGAACCGAGCTATGGATTGAATCTATAGCTCGGTTCTCAGCTGCAGTGGCCTTCTGGAAAGGCCTGTGACTGAGAAATGTAGCCCTGGCTGCAGAAGATGCTGCAGAAGAAGTGGGCCAGCGAGAAGAGGCCTGGCTACAAGGTAAGTGGGTGTGGGGCACATGGGAAAACTCCACCCCCCCACCCTAGCTTGATTTTTAGGTGTGTGTCTCACCCCAAAACTAGGGCTTATTTTTGGGGTAGGGCTTATATTAGGCTCACCCCCCCCCAAAAAAAATCAAGCTAGGGCTTATTTTCAGGGTAAGCCTTATTTTCAGGGAAACACGGTATGAACCATCTGAATTTTGATCACATGGCCATGGGGAAGTTGCAAAGGTTGTAACTGAAAAATGGTCATAAGTCACTTTTTCAATGCTATTGTAACTTTGAATGGTCACTAAATGAACTATTGTAAGTCGATTAAACTGAAGTTTAATATTAACACATTTCTCTCCTCGCCCCTTAATATTGATGTTGACAAATTTTTCTAATGCAAGAAATTTGAAGTTTAAAGGAGATAATTTCATTTCTACTTATCCAATCTGGTTCGGCAGGATGGGCATGCATTGGCTAAGGAGTACTGATTGACAAGGGCCAAGAGGCCTTCCTTTTCTCCTGTAGTGCCCGCCATATGGAATATTCTCCCTCTGGAGATTAGACCCTGACCCTGCAGTCTTTTTGTAGACCAGTAAAGACCAGGTTCTGTGCACAGCCCTGGGACCCTGAGTGTGTGCAGAGCCTGTTTCCTGGCTGCATTAGCATTACTGACTGTTGTTTTTCTCAACTGCTATGTATTTTAATTTTTGAATTCAAAATATCATTGTTTTTATACTATTCGTTATTGTTCACTGCTGAGATGGGCAGCTTTTCAAACTGATTAAATAAATAGAATCTAATTCTGCTGCCCCAGTAGCATTTAATTTAAATTTGCTACTTAAATACTAGCATCTAGATATTAATCCACACAATTATTAGAACCAATCAGATTTGATACATCATGGTTAAAAGCTAAAATGTGGTTTAGTAAGAGATGGCTAGATGTACAAATATAGTTTTCTTAAGTCAAACTTATCTGGTAGTTTGCTGCGCATTGTCTAAACTATCACTACTAAATTGTTTTTCTATTCCTTTGTCCTAACTTACCAACCACAATTAGGACTGGCAAATCTACTGCTAAGCAACATGGTTATAAAGTGAAACTGACCACACCCAGCTTACAGCATCCATTCTGATTGTAGTCATTAAGAGAATCATCACAAGTACAATATTAATGGCTATCTTAATGTAATTTAAGTACAAGATAAGACACTACATATGATTTGCTAATCTAGGCTGAGGAAAGCAATATGTAGTGCTCCTAATGTTGAATTACAACCCTTTAGCCAATATAGTAGAGGGTACAGGATGACAGGAATTGCAATCCAATATTGTGAGGGATGAGTGTTGACCGCTTTAGCAGAATGTACAGGAATCAACACTACATACCTAGCTTTTAATAGAATGGCATGTTGATTGTGCAGTGCTATTCACAATACAGAAATCAAGATTGCTGGATGCAAAATACCTAAAACTTTTTCTGAATATGCTCTATTAAAATAAATGTGCAAAAGTTATCATGTAACACTACTTTGACAGAAGAGCTCCCAGAGGAGTGTCTTCTGTTGTACACTGAACTCAAAAAGTAGTTTCTTTTTAGTTACATATAAAAAAACATATACCCTATAGTGGCTGTTCATTAGGAATATAAATTAGTAATGGTTCAGAACAGAATAGTAACCACTGTTTTGTTTCAGAGCCAGTTTTTTTATTTAAAGCTGTTGTCTTAATTTGTTTTACAGTTTGTTCAAACTTTCATTTATAGATCAAGCAACTGTCTGGAAAGAAAACATGATGTTTTGAAGTATGAAAGGATTACTATTGCTATATCAGAGGCTACGAATATTAATGGCCAAATCTAGGTGAGTATATTTACTTTCAATCAGATGTTTCTCTATCAGAATCTGAACTCGTCCTGTATATGAATTACAAGGTATACAGTTGTTATTATATTTCCTGGTCTGTAAGTAGATGGAATGTAAGTACCGTATATACTCAAGTATAGGTCGACCCGAATATAAGCCGAGGGACCGATTTTCCCACAAAGAACTGGGAAAAATTGGTGACCCGCTTATAAGCCGAGGGGGCATTTTGGCTGTTCCTCCCTGGCCGTCTCGGCCTCCCTAGCCCTGTTGGTGAGCGCCCGTCAGGGCGCAGCGTCGCCAGGCCTCCCCCCTTCGCGTGAGGCGTCTGGTGTTCCCCCTCACGCTTGGCTGCGGCGGCCCGGGGTATTCCGTCCCGGCCTCGACACGCAGCGCCACAGGGAACGGAAGGTAAGGGGGGAGGGCTGTACCTGGAGCATCACAGGCCGGGGCGACGCCGGGAACGAGCCGGGCGGCTGCGGCGGCGGCAGGAACAC